GATGGCTACAAATAATTAAAATTTACCTAATTGTTTCCCTCGATGAGCATGGTGGTTGATTGCCAGCACCTAAGGAAAAAGATTCCACAACAGGTTCTACGACATCTGGGTTGGAACTTTGTTCACACGAATTTAGTCAAATTAATAACCATATTTGATAATAATATAATAAATAGTTATACTTAGTTTTGGCACGAATTCCTAGAATATTCATCACTCGAGAACTCAGTGATTTTTTAACTGATAATTTTTTTGATGGGAAGCGATGAGTTGTTTTTTTAGGTTGATCCATTTTCACGTTAAAAAAATTAAAAAAAATATAAAACCGTAATAAAATTCCAGTGAAAATCTAAGTTATTACTGATGTTAACAGTTATTAGACAAAATGACAATATTTGATATTTACTGTCATAATTTATAATCAATAATTGAATAATTAAATAATTATTATTTAGATACTCACCCTCTTTCATGTTACCGACGGGCGACGACGTGAATACGATAAGTGTTGATAACAAATAAAAATATAAAATTTATACCGATCAAGCGAATGATTGACCTTTGCCATATAATAGACTATATGGATTATTTATCATATCATACATTTATTCAAATCGTATAACAAAAAAACTCATGATTAGGATACTATATACATCTAGCTATCTATGAATGAGTATAGGACATAGATAGTTTAGACTAAAAGACGCGAGTATATCTTTCGAATACTATATAAATTAATAAATTACATTATACGTAATATTGGTAAAATATATTTGTAAATAATATATAAATTATTGTTTTATGTATTAGGCATTAGCAAATTGTGTTTGATAGAAAATAACAAAATTTCTGTGTATTATCACAGAATAGAAAATGCGTAAAAATAAAGAAAATGTGCAAATTATTTTGTTAGAAATTCATAACAATTTTTCTTTTTAAATCTAAAATCTAAAATTTAAAAATTAAGTACAAGATTCTTCATAAATTTGTCTAGTTTTATGAAAAAAATATCTACCGGAAATACAAATTTAATGTTTATGAGCGTTTGAAATTCAGATTTTTACAACATTGGATTCACTCTATTTATCATTTAGCGATTTTCTTATGTTGTAATTAAAAAACGAATAACTGTAGATACTTTTAATAATTTATACTATATATCTATTGTATCAATTCCTATACTTGATACAATTTTCAAAAAATTTTCACTTTTTCTGAGCTGTTTACGAACATTTTCAATTTTTTTCTATAGTTGTTGATAAATTAGTAATTATAAATTTGTTGGGTCAAGAAGCGTGAAAATTTAATTCAAGGTTCCTGCACATATTATTGTTACAATAGCAGTTGAAAAATATTAAAAATCAACGTACCCAAGTTTTTTTATAAGTTTTTATGTTTGAATTTTGAAAAAAAATTGTCAAATTTTAAATTATTTTCTAGTTACAAATATATATTATTATAATATATCATAGGCTGACTCTTCGTCGTCGTTAGGATTCGTTTTTCTTATACAATACTGAATTTAACACAATCCAGTAGGTATGTAGTGCTCACTTGTAACCTACTGTAAAGCAGAGCGACACCCACTTGGCTACCTTTTTTTACTTATATAGTTAAACTAATTTAAATTTAAAAAAAATTCGTCTTGAATATCAATACGCTAATTTTATGGAACAATTGTCTATAATTGAAAAAAAAATTGTTTAAATCGTACGTTTTCTAGCTGATGTGTGACAATTTTACAATATAATATTATGTAGTTCCATTTTGCGCAAAATACGATAGTAATAAGAATACGATTTATAACATCGAAAAATAAAATAATATTATTCATTGACAAAATTATTATTTTCGTATTGACGTATTTGACTATTTATAACCCGTACGCGGCTACGATAAATAACCAGTTTTGACCTTTGATGCGGTACTGCTGCTTATGCAAGCGGGGTGGTGGAAGAAGTATTATTTCAGAACGCTGCCGCTATAATCGTTTTAGCAGCACATGACGACGGCAAATTCATAATTTTTTTGCCAAAACATGCTTTCGTACTTCCAATAGTACTCAGGCCTCCTTGGTCGTAGAAACATGATTTTGGTATCAAAATAATCACGAGAAGTTGTACTAAATATTCTTGAAACAAATTTTTGATATCTAAATTTGCTGATTTTATATAGTTTTTTAAAAAAATGAAAATTTTACAAACTTCAAACACAAATAAAATTGGTTAGAAAAAATATTTTAAAATTCTGTTTCAACAATATTTAGTACAACTTCTCGTGATTATTTTAATAATAAATGACAACTTGGATATTGGAAAATTTATTAATACTTCAATTCCTATTGATGACTTCACAAAATGTGCATTGCTTGAAAAACACTGGGTTCCTCCACCAGGATACATATATCCGTTCTCTATACACATACGCCAAGGAAAAGAAATAAAAAGAAACGTGCTACCTACCCACTTACAAAATAATCACTGGTTAGTATTATCAGATTGCATGAAAGGGTTGTTTTGTAAATATTGTATTTTTTTTGCTCCTAATATATCTAATAATGTAACACTCCAAACTTTTGTAAAGAAACCGCTTAAAAATTTTTCAAAATTACTGGCAAGGATGGTGATTTGAAAACTCACGGAAATCATAAATATCATAAATTTGCTGTTGATTCTGGGAATACTTTTTGGCTGCATATCATATCCCACAAAAAGTAATTATAAATCAAATAAATACTCAACAATCCATTCAAGTTAATGAAAATAGAAAATGGTTAGTTCCAATCATTAAAACTATTAAATTTTGTGGTCGACAAAATTTAGCATTAACAGGGCACAGAGATGATGGATTTCTGAACGACGATGCTGGTCCATCAAATGAAGGAAATTTTAGAGAACTTCTAATGTTTAGAATAAGTGCAGGTGACAAAACACTAGAAAATCATATTATAAAAACAACTTCATCTCGTTCAACATTTATAAGTAAAACTACTCAAAACGATTTAATTGATTGTATTGGCGAAGAAATACAATCTCAAATAATTAATAATGTAAGGATGGCTGGTATATTTGCTATAATATTTAATGAGACTACCGACATCAGCCATGTTGAACAACTAAGCATAGTATTGAGATATGTTCTGGATAATAAGGTACATGAAGATTTTATAACATTTGTTGATGCTTATAAATCAATTAGACCAGAAAATATACCAACCAAATCCTTATGAAGTAAAATTAAGTGGTAAAGCACTTGGACATGTTGTGTTGTATATTATATCTAAACTAGAACTCGATTTAGACAAGTGTATTGATATCGGGACAGATGGTGCAGCAGTAATGGTGTCAGAGTCTTGTGGTGCAGTATCAGAGATACAAAAAAAATATTGTAATGCTGTTAGATGCCCTTGTTTTAATCATGCTTTAAATAATTCATTGGCTCAGGCTTCAACTATGCCATCTATAAGAAACACAATTGGTACCTTAAAAGCTATTATTGCTTTTTTCAATACATCTGCCAAAAAACATAAATTATTAACTGATACAATTGGTCATAAACTTATTGGCCTATGTCAGACAAAATGGGTTGAACTTCATGATAGTATAATACAATTTAAAAAAATAATAATAGCTTATAATAGCTAATAATAGCCTTACATGCACAAATAAATAAATAATATAACTATAATTAATTCAGTAAAATATAATATTTTAAATTTTAATATATTTTATGCTTTAACAGATATAAAACTGAAATTATATAGTATAACCATTGATTATAGAATAGACAGATAGGCAATGTAATGTTAATATTTGGTGACCATTCATATAATGCAGCCACTATGGAGCGCTAGTGCAGAAAATGATGCAACCGCTAAACGCGCTAGTGTAGTAGTTAGTTTATGATGCAACCGGTAGGTAAGCGCTAGTGTAGAAATGATACAAAGGTGGTGTACCCTCTCATAGGTAGGTAAGCAAAGCGGAGGGTGTCCAGATTCTAGGTGGTGGTATCACAACCATAGTATGGTGAGGAAGAGCGAGGGTACAATAGTTGTCGTTCTAAAAATAGAATATATTATTTCATAATTCGTTATCGCATATCCGATATCATTAAATATCCAATTGACTGCTGTTTAGTGTTAACTGTTTAGTCGTTTCTTGTTTGTGAGAGACAATTTTTGAATTACCAACTCTTACTGTGATCTATGAGATCAATCTTTTATAAAAAAAATAATTTTTATTGTTTTGAGTATAAAATTATCTGAAAATGTCTGGCAATAAATGTCAGTATGTGAATTGTGGCAAGTCGAGGAATTTGTTTCCTAATTTACGACTTTATCGTTTTCCAAACGACGAGAGAAGAGAAGTTTGGATGATAAATTCGGGTAAATAATATTTGATTGATCTTTACAGGAAACACGAGTCTATTTTCGATTGAACTCGAAAAACTGCATAATAGGTACATTTGTCAAGAGCATTTCCCACCTGAAAGTTTTACAAATTTTTCTAATAAAAACCATTTAACTAACACTGCTATTCCCTATTATTATAATAATAAAACTGAGCAACAGCTATGTACATCTTTAAACTTAAATGGAAATCATAAGCCTGAACAAGAATTTATTTAAATATCAACTCCAACTAAAACATATACACATTCAAAATCAAATATGGTAGAGTTAGTTTTCCCAAGTCCCCTTTCTTTACTTTCTTCTACACAAAAAGCTAAAATAACAAATATTATACACATGTCTCCCAATTTAAGAAGAAAACTTGATTCAATTGAAATAGATACTCCTAGAAAATTGAATTTAAAGCAAAAATTACAACAAAAAAACAAAATAATTCATAATAAAATAGTTCATATTTCAAAATTAAAAAAAAAAAATAATCTTAGTACTCGTTATAATTTTAAAAATTTAATAAATATGCATAATTTTTCTTCTATAAACTCTAAGGCAATAGTGACTATGTAATTAAGAGATAAGCGTCGTCCGTGGATATTAAATGAAAAACAATTAGCTTTAAATTTATATTATAAATCTCCAGCAGCATATAAATTTTTACGTTCTCAGAAAGTAAATTTACCAGGACCATCTACTATTTATTATTGGATTGGTCAATCAAAGTTTTTACCATGTTTTAGAAAATTATTTTTTAGTCATCTTCAAAAAAAATTTAAGTCATCTGATTATAAAGAAAAAGTCCCAGATAGCAAAATTGTAATGATAATAATATTATATTATTATTATTTCATTATTTATGTAATATTATATATAAAACAATATAGTATTATATATATTACAATATATTTATATTATTATTAAAGTAATGAAGAAAAATAATATTATTATATTTTTATCTCATAACGGGAATAATAATATATAATTAATATTTTTCTAATATTATAATATATTATTAAGACAATACGCGCATTAGTTTTTATAATATAATACGCATATATATTTATATATAATAATAATAATATAATTGCATTTTGGGGGGACGGAGTGGTCGCGAGCGGACTAAGTTGTCGGTTGCGACGAGCACCGGCGACGGTTCGAAACCTGCTTGGTCGCTGCAGGCATCATTTTTCTTCGGGTGAGTGCCGCCACCCGGGCATGGCAGATACCTACGAGTGCCCCATAGACTATAGAGTATAATATTACTCTATGGAGTGCCCACTTAAAAATCTGCCAAAACAACACACACGTATTTACACCTTACAGTACCCTCCCCCATATAGTTAAAAACCACCCAATTGCTTAAGTTGCCACTGGTTAATTAACAATAAAAAAAAAAATTATTTTATTTTATTTTGAGCAACCTGCAGGAATCCTATAATGTTCCGTCTATTTCTATAAGTCTATGGGAGCTACAGATCACCTAGCCCCACCTCCCCATTGATCCAACCTTGTACCCTGTAAGAATATTCTTTTTATCCATGGTACTACCCTACACCATAAATAATACTTAAGAGGATGTCAGCGCACTATTTGTTTTCTCTCTCTGACCCACGCGCAACATAGACAAAACGCATTTACGCAGAAACATTTTTTCTATGTTTTTAAGTAATCTTAGAGTAAAATCACCTATTACAAAAAAGATAGAGAATAATATTTTTGAGGAAAGGTCATATCGATTTGTCTAAATATTGTTCAAACACCATAAACATCACTTTTAATGTACAATATTTTTGTTTATTTGGAAAGTCAATACAAAGTCAAATAATAATAAAATATAAAATGATATGACATTCCTCAAAAATATTATTCATCTTTTGTGGTAATAGGTGATTTACTTAAGATTATCTTAAAACATAGAAAAATGATTCTGCGTACATGGTTTTCTATGCTGCTGGGCCGAGAGAAAACAAAGTGTGACATCCTTAATAGTCTTATATCTACGCCATAATATGTCCATACGGTTAGTTCGAAGATGTACAATGCTATCCTTATAAGTGCGGAACGACCGACACGATAGTTGCCGTATGGTTGTGAATTTGTGATATATTATTATGTATAATCGAAAAAGTCGCCGAATTATAGTGACATATAATTGAAGACTGAATCCAGGTATCTGGTATAGAAGCATATTATAATATAGCATTAGACTGCCGTGACATATTTATTATTTATGTATTTGCTTATCAACCCGTACTCACGTTGTGAATTGATTACTACAATCACCGAATCATACAAGAATATAACTATTATTTATTAAGATTTACACTTATTAAATGATGTACCTACTTATATATCAATAATCGTATTAGCTAAATTATTTAATCTTGTGGATTTTGCTGGCTATGATATTTGATAATATAATGCGGTGAAATAACGTATATGTTTTCATACACAGGAAAACCCATTGAGCAATACGTAAATTGAACCGAAGCATACCA